ACAGATTTCGATTCAGCACTTAAAGTTATTACGGTTAAAATCGTCAAAACGGAAATAATCAGTTTCAGTTTTGAGATAATTAATAAAAACGGTGTAACTCACACACAACGATAGATTAACTTAGTTTGTGTCAGTGTCAGCATACAAAAATAAGTCTTACTTTATTTTTCGAGTCTGGATCCGACTACAATTTTCCTACCTTGTATCGGACTACGTCTACTGTCATTGTATTTGCAAGCCATAAATCATTGAATATGCACTGTGATAGACAAAGTCTGCATACTATCAAATGTTCCACATTTTGTAATTCCCCAATGTACAGGGTGCGTCGATATCTGTCTTTATACCTTATTTAATTAGGTATGGGCAAATGGTAATGCCGTATGTATGCGGTTGAGTGTCCGTCAGGTTCTCCAGTCGTTGTTCATAACGTGTGATGGTTCTGGGTGTAGGAGGAACAGTTCTTCCACGCTGTTTCTCATAAAATCTTTTTCTTGATTTAAGCCTGCTGGTTTCTCGAACTCGGGCAATTGCTGCCTTTTATAGAAAAATTGCCAGAAATTCCTTACATATTAACAGGCGCATAATGTACGTTCTTTTTCTTCTTCTTCTTTCTATAAAGACATGATCCTGTCTGTTTTTCAATGTGCCTCCAGTAAGTGGTCGTTTCATCGTTTTCGTGGTCTTCCTACTGATTGTCTTCCTATTGGGGAACCGTCTCTTGCCATCTTTACTATTTGTTGTCATTCGGCTTATTATGATCGTTCCATTCCACTTTTCTATTTCTTACCCAGTTCTTGATGTTCTCCACCTTGCATCTACGTCGTATATATGTACTTCTAGCTCTGTCCCATAGTGTCTTACTATCAATTTTTCCAAGTGTTTTCATCTCTGCTGTTTCTAACATCCCGATATTTTTATTTCTTCATATTGATTCATTCCACTTCAGTTTCGAGCTTTCCGTAGCTAGATAATATGATGTCTAGATATTTAAACTCCATCACTTGTAATAATTTACATTATTACGTTCTTCTGGTAAATGAAATTAGCTGCCCGGTACAGTAGGAGTAAAGGGGTTGGTTTCTTACAGCCGGTAGTTATTCTACATATTTTTTTAATGTATTAGTGACTTGTTAGGTGTATCTAGATTTACTTCACACGGGACAGGCATAATCTCCTGCTAAGAACACACACAGAGCCAAAATAAAAAACACTTACACAGTTTTGTGTACAAACATAAATGTGACGACTGCTCAAACTTACATCGGTAAAACTGGTAGAAACTTTAACAAACGAATAGCAGAATATAAAAAGGGCTTTTAATATTAGAAAAACAGATTCTACGTACGTACTTCATCTTCTAGATCACAATCATTCTTTTAACGACGAATTTAAAATTCTTCACATTCAAAATAAAGGCCTTAAGCTATCCTTGTTAGAATCTATGGAAATCAACAAATTAAAAAACACAGATATAATTCTGAATGACCAACTTGAGACAAACAGTTCTCCCCTCCTCAACCTATTTCACTAGAGACTATAAAGTGTAAACGCATACCAAAAAGATATCATTTGAGAAAGGCAATCAGCCGAAACAGCTGTAGTGATAAGAGTTAAAATAAATTTTTGTGAAAGTTTGAAAACAAAGTTTTCAGTGTTTTATTGTTACATAAAACAATATATATTTTAAATGGTTATGGTGTGGCCCAAAACACTCCACACATAAAGCTACATCACAGACATGGCATAATTACTACGCTTCTGGATTCCCCGTTTAGAACATTTTTGACACCTCCTTTTGGTTGATTTAACTGAAACGTGCGTAATGTTCCCAAAATCATTTCTGTTTATTGTTGTAAGTCCGGGCCGTTTTCGGGGCTTATAATTTCCTACAGGTAGCTATAAGGCTTTTTCGTGGATTCGTTTATTTTAGTTCCTCTATATTAAATTATATAGGCATTCACAATATATGCATCTATTAAGTAATATAGAAGCTTCATTCACCATCTTCTACTTTTCCAACAAATGAAATATGCTGCGATTCTTTGATAAAAGCGGTCAACAGCGCCCATATATTTGTTGCAATCAACTATAGAAGATGGACACTCAAAAACTTCTTTCTCTCCTATTTTATTCGTGCAAAGAACGTCGCCAGTTTCATCAGTATTGTCCATATTACTACACGCAGCAACTGCTTTTAACCCTGTATCTTTTCATTTAGTGATAGATATCTCATCAGACACTGCAAACTCTATTTGTCCCATCGCCAGCTTTTGTCTTCTTTCAATTTCTCTTTTGGTACATCTTTTCTAGATTGTCTGATTGTTCCACAATCAAAATAAATCTCTCTTTTATTTTTTCCATAAAGAGTAAAGTGGTATAGAAATTGTCGAAATAAATACAATATCCCTGACCAAATAAATTTTTGACCAAATTTAAAACAACACGTTCTCCTAAAGTATCATTAATCGTCGTTTCTGCTTTACGTTGTTATATTATAAATTCAAATAAATAGTTAGTTTCTGAACAAGCCAAAGCCCAAATATTTATTCCTATCTTCATCAGCTTCATGGGCATATATTGTTTTAGACTGGTATGCCCTTTAAAAGTAACCATGCTTTCGTCTACTGCAACATTTCGGCTTGGTTTAAACTATCGACAAAATGTACTAGAGCAGTGTTCAATGAGTGGACGTACTTCCTACACGAGGCGGCATATTGTGATTGTCATTTAGGTGTAAAAGCCTGAGTATTTTTAAAAATCTATTGAGAGGAAATATTTCTGCTATTCTGTTATTGTGAAAATTAGGATTGCGTGACCAATATTTGCGCAGAGTTGGTAATGTATTAATTCCCATTATAATTAAAACACCAATAAATGCCTTAAGGCATTTCACTATTAAATCTAATTGTTTCCCATTTTGTTCGTCATATATATTTGATTGTTGAACAAAAAAGTTCATAAACTCAGGTGTTTCTCACAGTTTTGAAAAAAATAATTTTCTCCTAGGACTCAACCTCAATCTGTATTCCTACATCGTCAGTAAAATTAAATTCATTAAACCTCTTAGGGTGGACGGCAGTCTTAGTTCAAGAAGAAAATGGTTCACTATTTTCTACCTCTTCATCCTCTTTTTCACTTTCGTGGGAAACCAGTGGAAGCTGTGAAGGAGGCATGAAATTAGGATCGTCCACTGAATCATCGGAATCCAAGTCACCTTCTATATTATCCTCTGATAAATTAAAGTCAATCTTTCGTTTTCGAGGTAGCTGTGGTGTAGATGTTGAAAAACTTCGCTTTTCTTTCATATTTTATAACAATCCTGGAAAATAAATGCAAATATAAAAAAATTATTTATATTATTTTACCTATATTTATTTTTGTGAATCCTCTTTTAACCGCCTTAGGACGACACTGAAAACTAATTAGTATTAAAGCTTTGTCATTTTAAAGAAAAAGGTAACAGAAAGTATAAATACTTCAATTTGATTAGCAATTTGACAAAATATACGATTAAGTAGGTGCACATTTCTTAGTAAAATCTTACATAATTTTTTTTTGAAACCGTTTTTTAAAAATGCAAAAATTTTTAAGGTCCAACAAAAAATTTAAGTTTCAAAGGCAAAAAACAAATCTAAGGAATATAGAGATTAACACTGTGTACTTGGAAATCGCAAACTGTTTTTAAATTTATTTAAAAGAAAAATTATATATTGTATAATTTTTTCCCAAAAGAAAATTTCATTAGAATACATCTTTTTTTTTAATATTAAATTTTTTTGAAATATTCTTTCAAGAAATGTACAGTTTAAAACATTTTTTAAATGAACTTACCTGTGCTTAGGAAAAAACTTCAGCTAAATTTAGAAATAACAGACAGAAATAAACAAGAAACACAAAAAAGTGTAAAAAACGGTTGTCTAAATGTTTACTGGTACACCAAAAATACCACTCAGAAGCACGTGGTAAGTTTTACCGCAAACTATGATACTTCTAAGTCAACTGACGAAATCCTCGGGTAGACACAAAAACCGCCCCATTGTAATTTAAATATCAGCAGCATTTAGGTTCACTGATCCAACTGGCAACGCTTGGTATAATACTACAGGTATACTTATACTACAGGTATACCAGTGAGGATTAAAGGGTTAAAAGATTTCTCATCGAAATAATTTCGATCCACAACTTTGTGGATCGAAAATGCTTGAAAAATAAAAATTTGTACAGAGAAATTGTTAGAATATAGCCCCTAGTTTAAAGAGTGTCGGACATTTCTCTTGCGTATTCCAAAAAATAATTCTGAAAAAAAAATATATAACACAATGGTCGCTACGAAAAAACCGTCTTTAAAAAGTCTTTAAAAGTCTTGGTCGATTACCTAGTGGAAGTGTTCTAGCCACACCCTCCGGGCAACAAATTGTAAACCAGAGCCTACTATTTTTAGAATCTCCATATCCAGCATATTTGATAAAAATTACTGTTAATAAGTCCATCAGAAAATAAAGACAGAACTGAATCCAAAAATTTTTCCATAATATCAAATCATTACTATCAAATTAAAAAAAAGGGATTTAGTAACTATACACAGATTAGGGAACAGCAAAAGATACCACCCACTTGGAAGTCTTTAACGAACTACTACTTGTTGTTGACATACGCTTAGCAGCATGTAGGTGTTTCAGTTGTCTTAATTAATTGTTCTAATGTTTTTCTCCCCAGTTAGCCAGAAACCAGAATCATCGAGATCACACCAGTTTGTATCCGTTTAGAAGTTCCTCGTTTTTATCAGTTATTTTATTATAATTATTTAAACAACAAAAACAATGTTACCTTGGGAAAATATAATGTAGAATAGGAAAATGGCAGTATCCAATACAAAATACAATAAAACGCTTAGGTTATTAGGAATATGCATTATTAAGTAATAACATAATTTTCTTAATATAATACTGAATTTGTATAACACTAAAATAATATTCAAACAAAAATTGTCTTTACAGAAAAGAAAAACTTTCTTTACCGATGGTTCTGCAGCGGCGGTGTGGATCCCAACGACATAGATAACCCTCAAGACAACAAAGAGCACGGATTCATGGTATTTTTTCGAGATTATTTTGGAGCGATGTTGAACAACGGATGCGTTAAGTTTTTAGTTATTCTGGTTTTCGGAGTATATCTTTTGGGGCTGGTTATGGCATTACTAAAATACAAGAAGGTCTGGAAAGAAGAAAGGTTGCCAAAAACGATTCTTACGCTATAGAATTTTTCGACAGGGAAGACGACTACTATAGAGAATTCCCATACAGGTAATAATTGTACCAGAGGCATTTTAAACAGTTAAAGTATATAAAGAAAAATAGTAAATAAAATGAACTTCTTTTATAATTGGAACTTAATAGAATTGCCAACTAATAAAATCTGAATTTCTGGCAATACTAGACCTCTACAGTGTGTTCATAAAGTGTGGACACGGTCTATTATCTCATGAATTATTCGCAGTATTACAGCTCTGATAGGTAGAATTTTATTTTCGTTTCTTAACCTTTTTGGAAAAAAATAGCTTTTACCCCGCGATCTTAGCAGATGTGACGTTATCGATAATATTTTTGAATAGAAAGGGCATATAGGGTTCTTTTCTGAGTACAACCGTACCAAACTCATCACAATTCAAACTTCACTATATAGAATGTAAAAAAGGAAACCAGTACTCGTATATAACAAATCAATTTAATATTGACATATTCCAATGATAACTACAAACTTACTGTCTGGTTGCTAAGGAATTTGACATGTCTTTACAGCCTACTTGTTATTTGAACTTTGATCAAATAAAAGGCAGATACCAAGCAAAGTTTTATTAATTAAATCTTGCCCAAGTACTTTCGCTTCCTAGAGCATCTTCAGGGGCATTTCGTCAATGTTGGCCTATCCAACAATCACAGAATGCCATAAACATAAAATTGTACATAACACTACACTATACAAGGAAAAGAGTTTTAAAATTATTTAAAATGGGCGAAGCTACATTTGTGGTCATCAACAGGAGAGAGAATGAGAGAGAATAATCTCTCTCCTGTTACTGACCATAATGTAGCGTCGCCTATTTTAAATAATTTTAAACTGTTTGTCCTAGTGTAGTGGTTTGTACAATTTTATATTTACGTCATTTTGTGATTGTTGGATATGCCAAAATTGATGAAATGCCCCTGAAGATGCTCTAGGAAGCGAAAGTACTTGGGCAAGATTTAATTATTAATACTATGCTCGATATCGGCCTTTCATTAGATCAAAGTTCATTTATTCGAGCATTCAATCTTATATTAATTTACTTGATATTGACAATATACTGACTACTGAGTCACTTTATTTTATTGTATTGTTAATCTAGAGCTTATTATAAAGCCATTATCATATGAATGCATTATCTTGAGTAGATTGGTTATCTTGAATAGATAAATACCTTCTATATCGTACTGCAATAGGCAACTCCATTCGAGCTTTGGTTGTAATAATGATATTTGTTTGTCTTTAATATGAAATGACATGTTTAATAATTTTCTTTGTAAAATAAATTTTGAATTAAATTTTAAGAAATACGAGCACTTGTTTTCTTTACACTCTGTATACTGAAGTTTAAATGTGATCAGTTTAGTACGGCTGTACTCAGAAAAATATGGGCTTTCAATTTTTAGATAAAAATATACCCTTTCTATTTAAAAAAACCTATCGATGACGTAAAAGTCATTTTTATTTTCATAAACAAAAATAAAAATCGATCTGCCAAAGCTTTAACTCTGAAAACATGTATTAAATAATATGTATTAATATATGCTTTAAGTCATGAAATAATAGATCGTTTCCACACTTTATGAATGTATACCAAAGTTTATAATTAATTAGTTAATCAATATAAATAAGAAGAAAATCCCAGACAAACAAAAAAAAATCCAAATTTTATTTTTATCAACCGCTAGAGCAGGCAAGTTTTGAAATAGAATGGAACTGCTGACAACCTTTAATCAATTTTAACTCTTAGATAACTTCTGATTATATCGTATCCATATGCAGGACTAAACTAAGCGACGGAACAAAGAAAATACACAACCCAGGCTGCAGAAGGAATATAAAGAAGTGGTGTAGATGCGTACATTTCTATTCCACTAGAAGAATGCATCTTTGTATATAAGAAGAGATTTATAGCATTGCATTATTCAAGAAAAAAAAACATGAACCCTTTCGAGGGATTAATATGTGCACAGATAGTCAAGTTGCTGTGGAACCTCTTATAAGCACTAAGGTAGACTTTAAGCTGTTGAGCGAATGCCGAGAACTCCAGAAACTGGCGGGACATAACAGTCTCACATTGGGATGAGTCTTAATTCATCGGAGCGTAAACGGCAACAAAAGAGCTGATGAACTAGCCAGAAAAATATCACCTACAAAATAATGCGTCGGTCAAGCATATGCCAAAAATCTATTGAATGGACATAAACCAATAGGGCTGTAGTACTACAAAAAACAAGCAAGAATCAACTCATAATTACGACAAGCTTCCTTACTAAACTTGCTCCAGTTAAGGACATCTGCATATAGTCCGGATGGTTTAGTAGACACTTAAGCTAAAAACTCTGTAGAAGGTAACCTGAAACAGTCAAACGTATCTTGCATAACGTCGAGCACTAGATCGCCGGCGACAAACACCATTTACCCAATTACTTCAAAAATATAGGTGACCACACTACCACACTTGCATAAGCGGGTACTGGGTTTTAAAATTCTGGAATGGATATCTAAATAAATGAAAAATGTACAATAAATTAATAAACTGCACTATGCTTGGGTTAATACCGTTGCCAAAACAGAAAAAATCCGAACTTTAATTCAGAAAATTTAATTTTAATTTTATATATCTGCATTTTATATTTTTCCAGAAATAATTTGATTCTGTAAAAATGTGGGAAATTCTTTAGATCCTGGATTACCAAGAATCGACTCCAAGTATTCAAAGTCATAACTATCACATATTATATAATACAAAATGCTAGTATGTAAGTCTGGATCAATGCAGCAAAAAGAGACATGTCCATCAATAGAGGATATTTTTCTTTACGTTTGCCAGTTTTCTGGTATTATTTCTAACCCTATGAGCAAGCAACCAGTGCTTTCAAATACCGATTTTTCAAATTTGTAAATGCACAAATTTAATATCTATTGTTTATATGTTTATCATTGGGTATAGTAATTACTAATTATTTTTTAGGGTTCAAGTTATCATATCTGGTCAATACGACTATTCCGACCCAAAGATTCAAGCACAGGTGGAAAACTTAACTCAAACATTTGAAAACACCTCCTATATTTCAAATACTTTATATACAGAATCTTGGTTGAGAAGTTTTATTCAATATACGGAACGAAATCAAGACTATCTTAATCTTACAGTAAATACCAAAAAGGGATTTACAGATGCTTTAAAAGAAGTAAGTATGATAAAAGAAAAAACTTAAAAATAGTTAATAATGATTCGATTAAGTAAAAAGTAATCTTTCCTATGGCGCTACAGCCCAAGTCGAATGTCTTTTTTTTTTTCAATAATGTGGCATGTTACTCTTAGAGATATCTGATAGAGCTCCATATGCTGCCTAGGCTAAAACCCACTCAAATTATGTACATAATGTAATCTCATTTGCTTTATGTATTTAAAAAGCAAATTGTTAAATTGTAAATACTTAACTAGATAAAATATAAATAACATATTGTTTATTTCGTCGCTTTCTGAACTGTTATTTTCTGTTAAACATTACTTATTAAATTAATTTAATTTATTTTAGTTATGGTTAGCTCCCAGCAGTGCTTTTTCTTTGGATGTAAAATTTGACGAAAGCGGTGAAAATATTATAGCAATGAGGTTTCTTATACAAGCTGTGAATATATCAGGTACCGAGCAAGAAAAAGAAATGGTTAGAGCAATCAGGAAGATATGTGAACAATCTCCGTTAAACGCCACTGTGTTTAATCCATATTTTGTTTATTTTGACCAGGTAAGAAATATAAAAGACATATAGTTTACGTAATGAACTATTGTTTATCATAGCTATTGGCTAATATATAGGTGGTTTTGGTTTTTCATTTTAGTTTTTATTTATTAGTACCAAGGAAAGTTATTATTTTTGGGCTAGCGTATTTTAGCGGAACTGTATTTAAGTTATTTACTATCTTTATTGCGAATTAAGCACAATTTTAGTTTAAAAAATTGACTAAAAAGCAGTCATTGATAACCCGTTCTATTGGACGTAGATTGACTAACAGCTGTACAGGTTTAATTTTGGTTTTACTGATGATCATATACATAATTTATATAAGACGAGCTTACACTATGTATTTAGCAGAAACTGTGCACTAAGATTTTGTTATTTTAAATATCAACACTATAAAATTTATATTTTTTTAATTTTTATTTTTATTTTATATTTATATTAATCAAAATTTTTTTATTATTGATAAAGCAGGTGTAGAAGTTTTTCTTCACTTCCAAATATCTCTAAGCGATCGACGTTAGTTCCAGGATTGCATCCCTTGTTCCCCGACGCTTTCTAAAACCATATTATAAGCGACTTGGATATTCATCGAATTTGTTGTAAATAAGGTTAAATCATCATGAAAATTTTTGCTATGCGATTCATCAGAGATATTGTTGTGTGATCACTAAAAACACATGAAAATTATAATCTAAACGAGTAAGAAAGGCCTAAACGATGGAGAATGGGACAACAGAGAGAGATGGAAACAGTTGAGCGGAGGAAGGCAGTGAATACTGTAGAATCCCTGAATATTAAAAAAATTATAACTTTTAGAAAATAACTTTATGGTTATTCATTTTTCTTAAACGATGACAAAATTTAATATATTATGTATTGTTTATTATTATTTAATTAATTATTTTTTTATATTTTTAGTTCGAACTTGTAAAACCACTTTCGATTCAAAACATGGTACTTGGAGCTATTATTATGATGTTAGTAACATTTATATTTATACCCAATATATTATGCTCCTTCTGGGTTGCTTTGTCTATTATATCAATTGAAGCAGGAGTAGTAGGTTATATGGCTTTATGGGGAGTCAATTTGGATTCCATATCTATGATAAACTTAATTATGTGTATTGGTAAGTATTATTTTAAAAACTGTAAAAATAAGAAAATAAACCAAAGTTATATTAGAATAAATAAAATAGTTTTGTCAAAACAAAGCAATCTTGCATACAGAAGAAACCTATTAGAGTCAACATACCCAACAAACTAGCAACGACATCATTGACGATGTGTTGAATTTAAGAATCGAAGAAAATGATTTGTATATTTCCTGATAATCGGAAATAGTTTTCCTATTGACAGGAAAGATTCGTAGACGTTTCTATGAAATCTCGATATGAGTTTGAACTTTGCATTAAAACTGAAGATAATCTTTAGTATATTTCCCCTTTGTCCAATTTAATTGTGCTACTTAAACATAAATTAATGTCGGGGACCGATTAACAGAGATGGTTTTTCAGCCCATTTGATACCACCAGTGACTACAAAGGCCACTTTTAACAAAGTCGCTAAAATGTGAAAATGAATTCAAAAGCAAAAATTGAAATTTACACTCAAGTTTATCTTTACTCTTCTTTTGTAAATTTCTTTCATGTTCATATGAGTATGTAAAACATTTTAAAAATGACACGACTGCTAAAAGTAGATTACTAACTGAAGGAATTATCACTTAAGGCCTTTAAGGAACTGTGATATTTTAGTTTTATCAGGCCCTTTTTCTTATTTGTTTTTGATTTAATGAAAGCTAGAAAGTTTCAGACACCATAAACCCTTATTTTTCTTTTACATGTTCTTGTACAGGATATTTCAATACTTTACAAGAAGAAAGGAAATAACTTCTAATATTCTGAGCCAACCAACAATCCTTACAGAACTTGGTTGATTTGATCATGGTATAGTTGTCAATATTTGCATTTAAGACAAAATTTTCTATAGTTAAATGCTGGTTCCTCTTTCTGTGCAACATTTTTTCCCGTGTCTGCAATAATTAATTAATAAAAAATAGTGTTTGCGCATAGCTTTCAGAATATTATGAGCCTCAAATACAATAACTATGTTACTCTTTAATTTAATTTCATTAGCATCTTTAGTTGCTTTTGCAAATGTGTGTTGTATGGAATCAAAATAATAAGGACAAGGATTGAATTCTTTAGCAGCATTTACTAAGTCTTCAACATACAGATATGTATATAAACACCAATCACAAATACAGTAGTTTTATAACATGCTTTTTAGAAGACAGGTAAACAAGTATTACTGTAGAACGTAATAAGAACTAACAAAAATAGAGGACACTCTCAAGCAAAATGACTGCAAAAACTACTTCATACAGAAATCAAAACAACTATGGTAATAAAAAGATGGTATAAAAATGGATCAAAGCTTTCTTATTCTACATTAGGACAACTAGAGTTATTTTTGGACGAGTCTTAGACAAACACAATATAATATTTACATGAATACCTCTACATAGGTACACCACAGATTATAAAATCAGCTATTCCACATTATAAAATAAGAATAATAAAATAAGCCATAGAAATAGGTCAAGGAAGTACAACTAAGTCTCACTAAAAGAGATAACTTCATATCCCTACACCTAACACTAAAATTCACAAGTAAAAATTCTACCCTGAATATCTACAAAAAGCAGAGCAAGTGAACAATTTTCGCTCCATATAATTTCTCGTCTCAGCAGTATACTGTTTCCCTTTAATCAATAAGGGATTACACACCTCAGATCTATACAGAGTGGCCCAATAGTCTGGAAACGGCTAATTATCTCGTAAATTACTAGACATAATTATACAAAATTTGAGATACGCCTATTTTGGGATACGGAGATTCCACATTTGGTATTTGCAATGTTGCCAGATTTTCAGTTTCTCTTATATTACTAGTAACTTTGGTTTTTCAAATGCATCACCCTATATATTAAGTCGTTATTTGAATCTCCTATTAAATACGAGTTCAACCATATGTAACACTTATGATTTTATGTAGTCTGGATGGTCTTAAATACATAAAACAGAAGACTGGCAACGCCTAAATTGTTTCAATACATTTTTTAATACTAACTATTTTCAAATACATTAAAACGTAACAATTGATAGTTTAGAATATTTTTTAGCATAATAGTTACGTTATTAAGTGTTCAAAATGTGCTCAATTTGTGAGTTGACAGCACTCTAATCGATGGTAGAATGCGTCTACCACATTTCTCTATGATTGTCTAGAAATTATTCGAGATTCATCGATAATTCATTGCCTTAGCTATGCACTGGTTAAGTTTTGTGAACTGAATTTGTCAAGAATCTCTAATAAAAATAATCTTTAGGATTGAGATCGGGTGAACGTGGAGGCCATTCAATTCTACATTGTCTACCAATTTATTGTCCGGGAAATATCTCATCTAAATAACGCCGAACATTTACACCAACTATCTGACGTTAAATTTCTTTCGATAAAAAATGGCCCAATTAAATAAGTACCTATTATAACTGACCATACATTTAATTTTTGTGGTCTTTGAGTATGGTTTTCACGCATTCAGTGTGAATTTCAGACGAGTTCAGCTATTCAATACGAGTTCAACCATATGTTCATTTGATTTTATGTACTCTGAACGATCTTAAATACATAAAACAGTTAAAAATATGTAGATTTTAATATATTTAAATATTTAAATGGAGAATGCTGTGATTTTGACATTTGTTCACCATTTAAATTCTCTAGTGTTTGGGAAAAAGGGCATAAGTCAAATTTATGCTATATTGACTTAAGTACACTTTCGACATGGAAATTAATCAATTTAGTTGTGATCCAAAGGACATAAGTCTATTGTATTTCTAACCGCTTTAATCTCTATTGATCTAATAGACGCAAGTCGTGTAAAGCCGGTTCTGTTTGGACAAACGGACTTATGTTGACTAAAGTCTTTTTTATCGCGGCAACCGTATATTTACACTTGCCAAGGACAGGCTGACTTAATTCCGTATGACCCGTTACAATAACAAACACGTATTGCTTTTCAGTGATAAAAATTTGTATTTACATGTGTTTTTGCGAACGTAAAAATGTCAGAAAGATGTAAAAGAATTATGAAGATGATTAAGGAGCAAAATAATGGTACGTAACCGTTTAATACTGTTTTATCTGTAAAAATGAATTTTATTGAAAATTTAAGGTTATGTGTAATATTAAGTATGTTTATTAAAATTAATAATTCTTTAAATAGTGGTCATTCTTTACATTATACATTCATATACAGAGTGTGTAGATTAATATTTTGAAGTTGTTAATCACGAAATTGAATATTATGTTATTTGTATTGTGCACTGACCACACATAAACGACTACTTTCTCCTATTAATAAAATAAAACCGAAATTTTACAAAAACGTAGGTATAACTCTAAAATGTGATATTATTTTTCAGATAATACACATCAACAAGAATGGGAGTTTCGAGATAGTGATGGATATGATAGTGATGCCGACCCAGTATTTGAAATGAAACAAAGTGATGGTGATTATGAAAGTGATGATAGCGACCTTGAAGCTGCTCCTTCCATTAGGAGTAATAAATTTCAGAATAATAGTACAGAGATGCTCAATAAAAATATTGTACAACAGCGTAACAACCAAAGTAATCATCAAGATGCAGTATGCTTACATAGAGCCGCCGAAGAAAGTGAACAAATTGACGAACAAGAGAATGTGCTGCAGATTTTCAAGCCTTATGCGAGGAAACTAAAAACAGAAAGAAAAGTAAAACGAAACACTGGTAAAGAATATATTACTGCTAAAGGAAAAATTCAGCGAAAAACGTGAGATTAAGAAGGTAGTACCATGCAGAATGAAATGCAATGTATGGTTAAATGCTGATTTAAGAAAAACTATATTTGATGAATATTGGCGACTTGGCACCCATGAATGCCGAATGAGTTATATAAGTAAATGTGTTACTTCCCAAGAAATTAAATGTCGTCGCATAAGAACACCCAATAGCGGCAAGGAAAGAGTAGTAACTTACAAATACACTTTTGAAATTGACGGACAACGAAAACTGGTGTGCAAAAAAATGTTTTCAAGGAACTTTAGATGAATCCGAAAAATTTATTCGCAACACACTTAAAATAAGGCGCAAAGTAAAACTGGTGTAGTCAAAGATGATAATCGCGGAAAGTGTATACCAAAAACAAAACGTCTCCTGAGCGAATACAACAAGTTATAACCCATATAAACTCATTCCCCAAATACGAAAGTCATTATACACGCCGAGTGAATAGTAAGTTGTATTTACCTGTTGACCTCAATTTGACTAAAATGTATAAACTATACCGTGCAGCCACAGCTGAGCCAGTTAGTCGTACAATTTACGAAGTCGAGTTTCACAAGCTTAACCTGGCTTTTAAAAAGCCAAAAACGGATGTATGTCACAAATGTGAAGTTTTGAAAATGGAGTTGACTATCGTTAATGATGAGGAAAAGAAAAATACACTTAAAGAACAACAAACAAAGCATCATGAAGAAGCCGACTTAGCATATACTTGTAAAAGTAAAGACAAAAAAATTAGCAATGGAAGACCACTCAGTGTTGTGCTAATACATTTGACCTGCAACAGTGTCTTCCGACACCGTATTTAGAAACATCGGTTTTCATTTTACAAAAGGAAATATTGGACCTACAATCTTACAATACACAATTGTGGAAATGGTTTTGCTTCATGTTATTTATGGCACGAGTCGATGGCAATGAGAGGAGCAAACGAAATTGCTTCATGTCTTTTTAAGGAGCTTATGAATTTACCACCCGAAGTGAAGAAAGTGATTTTGTACTCGGATACTTGCGGTGGACAAAATAAGAATTTCTACGTAGCAAGTATGTTCTTAACTGTTCTTCAAATAAAAAATTCCTTAGAGGAAATCGATCACAAATTTCTTGTGTCAGGCCACTCACACATGGAATGTGATGCGGATCATTCCGTAATCGAAAAACAAAAAAAAACAAGTGGTATGCAAATATCACATCCACATGATTGGGCGACATTAATACGATGCGCAAATAAAAAGAAACCTTTCCAAGTGCTTGAAATGTCACAAGATGATTTTTATGACTTTGCAGCCTTGTTGAAAAGTGTCTTTGTAAAAAGAAAACAAGATAGTGAAAAACGAAAATTTCTATGGCACGACTGCAAATGGCTCAGATACACAAAGGAACAAGGACTGATATATTATAAAAAATCACTTCAAGAAACAGAAGACTTCTCCATTCTGAATTTAAATCGCCGTGGCCGTCCGGTTGCACTCTCTTTATCAAAAAAATATACAGAGCCACTTGCAATCTCCAAGGCCAAGAAAGATGATCTCTTGGAATTACTACCCCTTATTCCAGATGTGTACAAAGGCTTTTATGAACAACTTGTACATTCAAATGCAACTGCTGACGTTGACCCAGATTTAGAAGACCTAGATCCAGGACGCTGAAAATCCTGACTTCGAAGAGGTACATACGTAATAAACACTTGCAATGATGTATTTTACTTCTATTATTTTTTTTCAGCGAATAAAACTTTATCCATTATTTTACGTTTTTGTATTTACCTGTGTTTCTATATGTTATTCGTTTACTACCATACTTATTATTATTTAACCATAATAACAGTCTTGTCAATATTACTATACTTAATGGCGACCATGTTAGTTCATATAGACTTAAGTCAGCAATCGCAATCAAAGTCAGATCCAGAGGACTTAAGTCAATCAAAAATCATCAATTTGGAAAGATATAACCTATTTTATTATTGTCTATAGGTTTGGTTAATATATCGTATTTTAATATTAGTATAAATATAAGTTTAATTTAAAATGGATTTATACGACAAGAATGAAACCTTTAATAAATCCTCCTGAAAAACAACAGATTTAGACTTATGCCCTTTTTCCCCAACACTAGAGAATTATGAACTAAAATTGACAGTAGTTGTGGTTCAAAAAGTTCTGCAATTTAAATTGCTTCTCTAAAATACCGTTCTCTAAACCGTTTCTCCTATTCATAAGACGACGGTATAAAAAAACTGTAAGGCGATTTGAGGAATCTGGAGAAGTAAAAGATAGATACCGATCAGGTTGACCGAACGAGTTATCAATGACAACAAAACTTCAGATATAAGTAAAGTTTTGTTGAAGATCCACATACATCCCCAGGCAGGGTTGCACAAGTACATGATGTAGGTCATTCTTCAGTCTTACGTTTATTACGTAAAAATAAATTTAAATCATACAAAATTAACTTATTGCAAGAATTAAGTGAAGATGACTTTGGTCGTAGATTAGAGTTTACTGAGATAATGATGGATAAAATTGAAAATTATTAAAATTTCGTTAACAGAATATGTTTTTCCGATGACGCAACTTTTACACTGTGTGGAAGTGTAAATCGACACAATTTAAGGTATTGGTGTGACGTAAATTCACACTGATGACTGAATGCGTGAAAACCATACTCAAAGACCACAAAAATTAAATGTATGGTCAGATATAGTAGTTACTTATTCAATTGGGTCATTTTTTGTCGAAAGAAATTTAACGTCAGATAGCTGGTGTAAATGTTCGGCGTTATTTAGATGAGATATTTCCTGGACAATAAATTGGTAGACAAGGTAGAATTGAATGGCCTCCACGTTCACCCGATTTCAATCCTAAAGATTATTTTTATTAGAGATACTTGAAAAATTCAGTTTACCAAACTTAACCAGCAAGTCTTGCAGAGCCAAGGCAACGAATTATCAATGAATCTCGAATAATTTCTAGACAATCATGGAGAAATGTGGTAGACGCCTTCTACCATCGATTAGGGTGCTGTCAACTCACAAATTGAGCACATTTTGAATACTTAATAACGTAAATACCATGTTTACGTAACTATTATGCTAAAAAATGTTCTAAACTATTAATTGTTACGTTTTAATGTATTTGAAAATAGCTAGTATTAAAAAATTTATTGAAACAATTTAGGCGTTGCCAGACTTCGGTTTTATGTATTTATGACCTTCCAGATTACATAAAATCATAAGTGTTACATATGGTTGAACTCGTATTGAATAGGAGATTCCAATAATGACTGAATATACAGGGTGATGTATTTGAAAAACCAAAGTTACTAATAATATACGGAAAATGGCAAATCTGGCAACATTATAAATATCAAATATGGAATCTACGTATGCCAAAATAGGTGTACCTTAAATTTTGTATAATTATGATTAGCATTTTACGAGATAATTAGCCGTTTTCAAACTTTTGGGTCACTCTGTATATCTATCTATACAGCCTTTGCTGTCCAATTTTGGACATATGCCTCATCTTCCTTTTTCCACGTCTCTCGATTGTAGGCAGTTTGTATGCACTTCGGGCCTGCGTGTTTCTTCAAGTCATTTGACCGTCTCATTTGTGGCCTTCCTCTTTTTCGTTTGTAACTATATGTTCTCCAGTGTATAATTATCGTGTTCCATCTGTCGTCTTGCTGTGTTATGGTATGTCCAGCAAACTTCCACCTGCGTTTTGCTATCTGCGTTGATACATCGGTCACTTTTGTTTTGTTGCGTATACAAGTATTTCTTTTCTTGTCTGATAGCCTGATGTTCAGCATTTGCCTTTCCATGGCTCTTTGGGTCTTTGCTATTTTTTCCATGTTTTTCTTTGTTAAAGTCCAAGTTTTAGACCTTCGGTGAGAACAGAAAGTATACATTGGTTAAGGACTCTTGTTTTTAAATATTGGGGTATTTTCTATTTTTTAGTATATAGAAACTATAATCTGCCCCCATCGCATGAGGGTAAAGACAGTACCAAGGCGAAGAAATTTACAGTTTTATCCTTTTTTCAGACTCTATTAGTATAACGGTAGACATATAATATCTAGACAGCGCGTTGCAATCTAAACCGGTTTTCCCAGTGCGACAGAGAAAAAAGATACGAGCAGTCTAATAGCCAATCTCCAGTGAAATATGATTGCAGCGCGCTGTCTAGATATTATATAGCTGTGAATATAACCATCTACATTTATGAACCTCACTAAAACGTGCACTTAAAAAACAGTTATTGAATGCAGCTTTGAAGCTGCTCTTAGAATTTTTGCACAACTTTTCTCTTAATTTTCTAACGCTATATAAAAACCATTTAGAACTTTCTATATGTTTTAATTTATTTTTTATAATTTTGATATATCTTTTCATTTTAGGATTCAGTGTCGACTTTACCGCCCACATTTGCTACGCATATATGTCGTCGAAAGGACGAACTCCGGAAGAAAAAGTTAAAGATTCCTTATATGCTCTCGGACTGCCCATATTCCAAGGTTCCATAAGTACCATACTTGGCATGATAGCTCTTCTTTTAGCCAACAACTATATATTCTCCGTATTCTTTAAGATGGTATTTTTGGTGGTGTTTTGTGGAGCTATGCATGGTCTGTTTCTACTTCCGGTACTACTCTCTTTGTTTGGACCGGGTAAGTATATGTTATAAATAAACATATTAGGTATCTTAGCAACTGTTAAGATTTAATAAAAAACTCATAATATTGATTTGTAATATTTAGGATCTTGCACCAAATACAAACCGGAAGATGATATTAGACTCTCAAAAATAGAACAGTCGTTACCTCATCCATACTGCATACCTCATCCCCAGTTTACATTAAATGGTAATAATTTAGGAGGGGCACTGAAGGGAGCTACCCCAGTCATGGAAAAGTAAGTAAATAATATTACCAATATTATATTGTTATTTAAATCATGCACACAATATCAAATATTAAGTAATTAAACAGTTTGTCGACAGTAATAAACTTTTTTTTTAATTATTAATAATTAATATTGTTCTGAAGCTATTTTCGTGTGATATTTTAAATTAATTACTATTTAACTGGGAATAAGCCACAATTAAAGATAAAAAATACGTTTATTGACGTTTCAATTTCCACTTCGGAAATATTATTAATTAAGTATTTACTGCTTTTAATACATCTAATTAATATTTTTACCAATACAATACAATATGTTTACCAATCACTATACTATTCATTTTTGTTTACGTTATTATTAAATATCTTCTGTTACTTTTTAGATACACAAAAAAATCTAAAAACTATGTCGATATGGATAAGGATCTTGGATTAGGAACGTCTGAAGAGAATTCCAGCGAATCATCAATACATTCTCAAAAGAAACTCCCAATGGATGATGCAGCATTAGAAAGGCGTTATAGAGATGCTTGGAGACGTAATTCGGAAGCAGCCATCATTAGTTTTAGGAACTCACAAGTATTAGACATATTTGGCACCGACTCAGAAGCTGAATATTATAGGTAGATTTCAATTTTTAAGCAAACGTTTTTAGTATGTTAACCCAGTTTTATATCAGTTCACAGCCATTATCAAATTACAATAAACTAAGAAAAAATTAAAAATCAACTTACTAAGCGTAACAACTCAGGAGCCGTAAGGAGGTCTGGTAAGGAGGTAATCTGACCAAAGATGGAAATTTTTATTAAAAAAGTTTTAAATTCTTATCTTTATCAGATCAGTACTCACCCTGGAGATCGATAGGATGTAATAAGCAACACATTATACTCTTTATAAAGAAAATTTAGCAGACTTTACTTAATAATAAGGCATTAACTTAAGAGACACAATACTTAAAAATAATTATTGCGCTAATATCCCAAGATCCTGAGTAGTTGATGCTGTTAATATAAAGAAGAAAATCTATTATTTAAATTTATTTAAAAATATATCTGGAGTGTTTGAAGCTTGACATATTAATTACTTCAAAAAACTTCTCAGTGCATGTTTGCCAAAAGTTTTTTTATAATCGATTGGTAAAGGCTGCATCATAATCATCACTGTAGTTTATAATGTGAAAAGAACTTAATTGATGGATTTTATTTGCTTACGAGTTTGTCACTTTAATTTTATTACTACAAGTATGACGTGAAAATAAAAGACATAAGATACACATAGTCAAGATAATGTCAATTAAAGGAATAAAGAACACGACGTTTCTAAGTGCAGTATGATTAAATTAAATAATTAATCTTAACATCACGACAAGCTTTGCTGCAAATCACAACGGCGCTAAACGAAGATTTGCTGATTAATTTGGAGTAAATAATATGTTAAGGCCTGTCCCTGGTAATGGATGGTTGAGCGGACTTCTGCGTTTCTTAGCTAATCATGGCAGGTGACTGATTAGCTTGGCAGACGGAACATCTTTGTGTCATTCCAGTGAAATTGTCTATGTATCCTCTCCAATTTCTCTTATTTCTCACTCTTTGCTTGACTTCTCTTCAACTTAATCCAATTGTTTCATATTGTCTTGTTTTAGTTTTTTTGCTGGCTATTATATTGTCTTTCAGTTCTTCTGTTTGTGTTGGGTTGGTATCTGGTACCCATCTAGTTATCTTAGTTTGGTCCTTTCCACTGTATGCCCAATCCATTGTCAATTTTTTCTTTTAATAGTGATTGTTATCTTCTCTGGATTTCTTCTTTTTCTTAGTTCTACATTTGATATTTTCTTTGGCCAGTATATTTTTAGTATTTGTCTTAGTGATCTATTAACAAATGCAAGCAATATTTTTGTGGCTGTCTCTTACTTTTAACGCAACTTGAATATTTTGATTTTTGTTCATTCCGATGTACGGCATGTGTGCATTATTTACTTTATGAAGTTCTATACATGTATTGCTTTTGTAATTTTTTTATCTTATAACTGATCAGCATCCGCCTATTTCATGTTTGATCCCGGTATGTGAATCTGTCTACAGCTATTTCGCTTCCATTTATTTTTATTTTAGATTTCTGGCCGTTGGTTAGATTTATATTTAGATTTATAATTAGTATCTTCGGCTAGAACCACAACTACAGGTTTTGTGGTAACTTTAATGAAGTTACCAAGGTTCCTCATATTCTGCTCTTGTTTTACTACATCCTCGATACCTTTTATCCACGATTGTGAGATTACATTGCAGACGGCATTAAGCAGATTTTTTACATCATTGAATTTAAAAGTAATATTGTTCTTAGCTACTTTATTATTATTTGAGCCAACATAAGTTCTATCGGATTTAACTCACAATGGTATGGCGGCAATTGAACTACAATTACGTCTTATTCTCGCACCATTTCACCCACTACATATAATATAATATATTTATCTTTATGATACCGTACTAAGTTTAAGCCAAAATTGGTTCATTGAATTTAATATTTTTTTTAGTAAGTCAATCTGCAATCTTCTACACGCCGACAGTGATATGGATTGTTATTCATAACAATAGCAGATCCTGGTTTGATTTTCAACAGAATATCTGAAAAATATTTTTCATAAAGATCTGCATCCATTTCCCCATATTAATCACCAGTCTTTTTAGAAACAGTCGCTACGAATATGTCTAATAATAAGGCGTTTTCCCTTTCCAGATGGGACTTTTAAACCTGTCCCACTTAAACCTGACAAACCAGATGGTTTGTCGACAAATTTTTATTACAGTATGCTCTTCAGTATACTTTTTGCGCCATAAAATGGATTTTTTCTTTTTTAATAAGGGTAGTATTCGTCTTTCTCTTTAAACATATATATTTCAATAAGGGTACTATTCTTCTTCCTCTTTAAAGACATTTATAAGTTCATTTCACGTTAAGTACGTAACAAAACACGTCTTGATATTTTTTGGAATATTTTCATTAGATTGAAAAGAAGCAATTTTTTAGTTGGTAATTCTATTTTGATATAAAATTCATTTTCTGCACGATGAATGGACTGTTTCCCTATGTAACCCAATTTTAATTGTTCCCTTTATCTTGTATTAACCTTCAAAGTATTATTATCGTTTGTTTCATTTTTTAATCACTCTTTACACACTAGCTTGTGAAACTTTTGTCAAAATACTACATAATGTAACACATGGCTCACATTCATATTTGGTTCTCTGGCTCTAAATCCTTCAAATATATTTCCGATCATAGTTTTTTCTTCGGGTGTTAAATTGTGACGTTTCTTTTTGATATACGCTTTACTGTTACGACTCTCAGTCATATTTATTATTTGTCATTAGATGAAACAAATCGAATTAAACTAAATTAATCACAATTCACAAAAAGTAAATGCTCCTTTTCCTAATAATACTACAAACAATTTTATTCTCTTCTTAATGAAACCCCTGCCAGTACGCCTATAAATTGAACTTACAGATAACAAAACAATAAACTAAATACCCGAAAAACGGCGTTGTTGTCAGTTACATCGCCTTATTTTGCGCCAATGTTGTTGATCTTAGACATTATCTACCGTTAGAGAGAGATATAAACTACAACATTGCAGATAACTTTAAGTTGAATCATACACGCTGACAACGTTAAATTTTCCCTAGAACCAAAATCTTTGCCAAAATACTTAAACAGTTTAAAAAAACAGACCAATCAAATTACTGAACTGTATTTCAAATAAAATGAGATCTCCGCTTTTTTAACGTATATGCTTTGAACAGTCAGAAGAAGTTTTTTTATAAATTTTTAAGAGATTAAAAATAAAAACATGAGCCATTTGCTACAAATGTGGAACTTTACTGTAGCACAAACATATTACTGTAAATACAATTTTTTTATAAAACGTTAATTTTGTTCCAGGCGTAGATCTAAAGCAACAGAAGCAGCAAATCATACAGTTGTAGACAACCATGGTGATAATTATTTAAGGCCAAATAGATACGAACCAAACAGAAGATATTCACCACCACAAGAAAGATACCACCACAGGAAAAACAATGATCTCGCCAGGTCCAGTTCTTACCACAATATAGTACATCCTAGATATACTAAAGAGTCAAGTCCTAAGTTTATGAAGGAATCTAGATTTCCTTAGTGTTGAATATTATGAATAGTTGTTCAGTTTCAGTAATATGTATCACATTTAAGAGGCTTTCAAATAGAAATTTGAATTGTTATGAATTGGAAGAAGGTATTAGTATTTTGGTAGCAACCACATTTAATTTGATATCTATATGTCACTAAATATTTTTTTCTGAAATTATATACTAGTTATTTTCTAGTTATCTAGTTTTCACACAGGTATATGCTATACAACTTTTACCTTAGGAAAGCTTCTTAACTAAAAACTACTGAAACTTAATGACTTCTAAATAGGTGTTCATTTTTGTCAGTCACAATTTATTTATTTTAACCTAATAAAAGGATCTTCTGAGTCCACAAAACTTTTGTAAATATTTAAGTTTATTGATTTAGTTGCAATTATAATTTTAGGCGTAGGTAAAAAAGAGCTAAGTTACTCTATAATGCCGTAATAACCTTTAAATACCCGTAGTTTTTTAATCAATGTTTTCGTTAGGGTGCAAGTGTTTTAATTTCAATATTCTTTATTATGCTTGCCTTGGATAAAACTTGGATTGATAATGAGAGTACAATTTTTGGAGGTAGCCTTTTAAAAGTTGTTATATACTTAAATGCCACTATTATGCTCATGTATTAATGAAGGGCTTTTGTATTGTTGCTTTTTTTTGTTATTAATAAATATTAAGACGGCAGATAACAATGCTGCTACAGTATAGACCAAAATAAACAGTACTGAACTTATAACTATTTTATTGTTTTAAAAAATACATATTATTGATACTTTACAATATGTTCTAAATGAGTTCCTCCTCTTTCAAGGAAGACTTCATACCGATATTCCAGATTGTTCGTTATGTTATGGAATAAAGGTTGTGTCAAGTCAGTAAATCGTGAAATGAATTTGTTTGGAAAATGTCCCTGAAGAAATTGACGAACTGCGACAGCAGTAGCGTAAGTTGCCCCATCCTGCTGGAAAAATTGTTCTTGAAATGCCAAATTACATACACGACAAAATTGACATAGATCAGGATAAAGCGTGTAAAATTTGTAGGTATATCTGTTGATTAAGTATGACTTGCCTACCATTTTCTTCGATAAAGTATGGACCAACGATTCCGTGACCCAAAACTGTGCAACAGAGACTCACTTTTGCGCTATGTAAAAAAAATTCTTGAACTTCATCTGGTCTGGCAAAGTCCAGAAATCGATTTGTGCGACAATTTACATGGCCTGATAAATGAAAATGTGCTTGGTCTGAATCAAAACTTCAGGATTTTCATACAATAATGCAAGAATTCTGACACAATATTCCACTCTACTGTGATAATCCCTATGATATAATTGTTGATATACCTGAATCGGCTGAATCACATGATTCAGGTACACGAATGCACCCAGCTCCTTCAGAATTCTTTGCAAGAAAGTTCGTTTTAAGGCAATATGGTTTATGGTTGTTAACTGTCCTGGGATGCCCTGAGTTTTCTTTTAGTTAGCACAATGCATTACCCGTATTTCTAAACTTTTCAACAACCTTCAAAACTACAGCATTACTTGGAAAACGTTTATTAAACCAGACTTGTGCTATTACGTCGGCCGATTCCGTATGAGCGAAAATAATGCTCCACAAAAAACATTTTCTCGTCAGTACTTAACACCATTTTAAACAATTAGGCCTTAACAATTAATTGTTTAAGGATTACTTGATAGGTCTATACTAGTTTAATTTGAATTTTGACAGCGCGCACAAAGAGACATCTATGTTTCGGTTTCAGTACTATTTATTTTGGGCAATACTATATCTCACGCTTCATTTTACTTAAAAAAGCTTGTCGCGTTAAATTTCAACATTTTTAATTGGCAATAAAGTAGAACTCTACTACCGTATCTGTAGTTTGTTGTTTTTTTGTTTAATTTTAAGGTTTAATTTTATGGAAATTAGAGCATAGCATATCCTTAAAGTTTCAATCCATTACTTAAGAATGTTGACCTCCTTGTCTCTAAGTATATTTATTCTAAGTTTAAACTCCTTTCTAGTTTTTGATATTTCTGTAAAACTGTCTTGAATCGGTCTTGTTTCTGAAGATTGTAAACTCTTCAAGAATTTAAGTCTCATATTTTCTTTTCTCTTGTGTATGTGTTTTTCATCTTTTGTGGTCATGACTCAACAGTACCTACTAGTATACCACGTTTTTTTGTTGCGCGGCTCATAAGCATGACTTGTCATTCTGTGGAATCAAAGGGATTAACCAAAGTGTTTTATATGACGTGTATGTTTTGATTCCGCGAACTATTTCATATTTTTGAGAGCCAATGTAATTATTTATTTGTTTTCACATAATTTGTCAAAATTAAGTATGTACTTTAAACAGTTTGTGCCTTCTTATTCCTCTCTTTATATGGATCAGTATTCCTTCAAAAAGTTAGCCTTTCTTAAACTAAATCAATAGTTTTATCTTTATCTTGAGCATTGTACAAGACTGGATTTTATCCTTAAAGTAAATATAAGAACAAATAAACACATGATGATACTAGATTAAACATTGTTATAGCGAAATAGACGGGAATGTCAATAAAATATGAGATTATTAAAATTATTTTTCATTATAATCACAAATATTTTGTTATATTGATTTTTTAATAGTTATTGTTTTAAGTTTTACTCTTTAGTGTTAATGTTGACTGATTTTTATGAGAATTATATTTATGAACAAAGCTAATGCATCAACTAGACACAACAATCTGTGCAAAAATTTTTCTTGGACAAAGTCTTTTGGCCCTAAATCTTTTCATTTAGAAACAAAAAAGTATGGTTTTTACTATGGTTAAAAAGTTCGAAAACATACTGTTATTTCAAGATATTTAACAACCATACTCTAGCAACTGTTGAAATAAATTAAAGCTGCTAGTTATGAACAATTTAAACAAAATTAGAGAAAATCAGTATGTTGAGTTTCCCAAACTCTGTCTGACCTCATATCTTGTACAAGTGGGTGGAGTGGGCTCAGGTAATATTCGGTAACTTTGAAATAATATACTTGTGGACACTAGACAGATTTTTTTATAATTGTTACAGCGCCAGAAACTAAGACAAAATTTGTTCCTTGATTAGACGTACCGGAAAGCAATGATTTAACAGAATTGCTTATGAATATAGCAACAATTGAACGATCTGTTCTTTCAAATCTTTCAGCAATCCAGCAGGAAGGACAATTTTTCATCTATCATGTTTGCTTTATACACAAACACAAACCGTGTAGATGAAAAATGGTAGGGATACATATGACAACTTTTTTGTGATATAAAAGTTTTAGTACTTTTTATTTTAAAATTTATAGTTTTAACAATAAAATGAATTATAAATAAAAAGCACAGTAGGGTTCTACGTACATGAGTAGCCCTAAAACAGTTCTAAATTGATGCATTGGCACTGTCAATTTTTCTTGTTAATTTTAGGTAAAAAATTAAAATATAAATTTAAAGTACAAGCGTTATTGGTTATAGAAGGGATCGGACTTGGTTGTATGTTCTTTATTAGAAATATATTAATTAATTTCCTAATAGAAGGCAGATTGCTCAAATACCTTAGAATGATCCTAAGTAAACGTAATAGTTTTAAGTTTTGTACAGTTTAAGTGATTTTTGTAAAATATTTTTGCTATTGTATACCTAAATAAAAATATTTCAAATAATTAAAAATTTTGAATTTTACCTAGTGATCTTCCGCATATTGAACTTGTGAAACAAGATATATGTTTCTACAACAAGTCCTGACTTCCCAATAAATACAGACTCACTAAATTTACTAGTAATCATCTGTAGAATTTATTCTTTCCATCCTTTGGCCAAACTCATTAGACAAGAATTACACAGTCTAAATCACAGAAATATTGATTTCCTGTGAATGCGATCTGATATTGGATTCACGGGAAACGATTTGGCAGACAAATATGGACAAGAAGCCTTAGAGGATGCAACTATTTAGTTATTATCCAAAAACTCCAGCAACAGATCTCAAAATCATATTTACACAGCAAAATAGTTAACATGGAATAGCAGATGGGACATAAAACAGGTACAATTCGCCCTTGCGCGTGCAAACGGAGATAAGTCCAAAATTGCCATTTTGAGATATAAGCGTTTAAAAATTTTTATGAATTTATAAGCAAATTTTAAATAAAACAACTTAAATCTAATTAAAGATGAATTAAAAACTTTATTTAATTTTACAAACTAAATGAAAATATTACCCTGTAATTTTGAAAATCATTATAACATGAGAGAAAAAAATAGTTATCTCCAAATGCACAAAACTTTAGCGTACATAACCCTATCTGCACTAATCGTCATCTAGTATATCTTCTTCTTCTTCTGAACAGTAGTCTGCAACATCGGTCTGCGTAGGTAAGTTTTTATAGAAATCGTGAAATACGTCATCTATGTATGGTAATAAATCCATTAGATTACTTTTTTTTTCTGAAGAAATTGGATTTGGATATTTACATTTTGGTAGATTTAATGGAGGAGATGAGAAACCTCTTCTAAGAAAATTCATTGTTTTAAATGGTTCATCTTCTTTGTAACTATTTTTATACGAAAACAGTCCAAATTCTTTTTGATATCTAATCCATTTGACATCTTTCCAAATAAAGCGGTTACCGTCATTATCTACCTTTCTTACTTGTAATGAACTCTTTAGTAAACTTGCAAAATCAATAAAATCATTTCTAGTCATTTCTTGAACCTTAAAGGGATATCTTTTACCACACAGTCGAACAAGTTGATACCAGTCTCTTGGATGTTCAATTCGGCTTTCATATTTTTTCTTTTTTTTTTCAATTATCGAATGGTCGCTATCACACTCCATTCTTGTGTGTCCTGGAATTAAAAATTTATGATCCAATGTATCGAGACCAGAACTAACCATTAAGACCATAAACATTGCAATGAGATGAGAGTTTTTATTCTGCCCTCCACAAGTGTCAGAATACAATGTTATTTTTCGTACTTCTGGTG